CCAGCGGAGTGACGCCGACTCAGACTAAACCTCGCCATCCCTGGGGGGCTGCGATCTGCGAAACTGTCGCCACTTTCGAGGCCTGCTGGGGGGCCCAGCGGAGTGACGCCCTACGGGGATTCAGATTAGACCTCGCCATCCCTGGGGGGCTGCGATCTGTGAAACTGTCGCCACTTTCGAGGCTGCTGGGGGGCCCAGCGGAGTGACGCCCTACGGGGATTCAGATTAGACCTCGCCATCCCTGGGGGGCTGCGATCTGTGAAACTGTCGCCACTTTCGAGGGCTGCTGGGGGGCCCAGCGGAGTGACGCCCTACGGGGACTCAGATTCGACCTCGCCATCCTTGGGGATCTGCGATCTGTGAAACTGTCACCACTTTCGAGGGCTGCTGGGGGGCCCAGCGGAGTGACGCCCCACGGGGACTCAGATTAGACCTCGCCATCCCTGGGGGGCTGCGATCTGCGAAACTGTCGCCACTTTCGAGGGCTGCTGGGGGGCCCAGCGGAGCGACGCCCCACGGGGACTTAGATTCGACCTCGCCATCCCTGGGGGGCTGCGATCTGTGAAACTGTCGCCACTTTCGAAGGCTGCGCGGGGGGCCCAGCGGAGTGACGCCCTACGGGGACTCAGATTCGACCTCGCCATCCCTGGGGGGCTGCGATCTGTGAAACTGTCGCGTGATCGACCTGAAGTCGCCTGGTGGAGACGCGCGTGATCGACCTGAAGTCCCAATCGCGCGTGCACTGCACCTGCGTGGCGTTCAGGCACGCGCGTGATGCTGCTCGCTCCGCGTTCAACCAGTACGTCGCCAGTGCAACTTTGGACGATGGACAACCGATTGATGATACGCGACCCCGGCCTTGAGTTTCTTTCCCGCGGGCCGCCCGCAGACCTGGCGGCGCGCCTGCGAGCGTTCAGCTCCCGCGCTGAAGTGTGCGGGAAGGAGGCGGAGAAGCTAGCGGGCGAGCTACGCCTCGCTCGTTCCTTGCACTCTAAACAAGTTTTATCATGTGGAACTCTGCGACGACATGGCGCAGGCAGCGCTGCGGGTTTAGCTCGCACTTGAAAAACGCGGCAGTCTTCTGTCTCCTCCCGCCACTTTCATCGTCGTCCTATTCCCCGCCTCGCCTTCTCCATGCATGCTGCTGCTTCCGCGATGGCCTTTCGCCCCCCCGCCCTCCATTCCATCCCTCTCCTACCCCTCGTTCCCGTACCCGTTCTTCTTCGATCCTGGGGCCTCAAGCCTCGTTCTTTCGATCGTCGTCCTGTGAATCGTGCAACGCATGCGCATCCCATGTAGCTTGCACAGCAAATCGCCGCGTCTACACTGTCGTTGTTCCTGCTAATGTTGGCATACTCCTCTTGCCATTTGATGCACGCGGGTTGGGTACGTCGCAGGGTAATTTTCTGCCGCCCCGCGGCGGCACGGCAAGGGCCCCGGCGCGAGGCCCACGAGCCTGCAGGTGGGGGGGGGGCGCGGGCCCAGAGATCCCAGACGGTATAACTAGGGCTCTGGAAGTCCAGGTCTATACTTCCTGCCCAGACATCCAGCTGCTCCAAAAGTTCTTGGCGCGTGGACCCCGGAGGTCTGAACCACTTCTCCAGGGCCGGTTTTTCGTCCCGAGTCGTGCTTTGACGCTCCCGAGGCCTGGCGAGGGCCCCTGGAGGCCGAAAACTGCCAAAATCCAGCCGCTCCAATTTGTTTCAGGAGCGTCGGATCTCGGGGTCGGCTTCGGCCTGCGGGGCCCGTTCTCTCGAGCCCCCGGGGCCATCCAGAGCGCATCCAGCCCGGGACTGCCCCAGCAGAGCACTCTACAGCAGCAGCAGGTGGTGAAGGCGCGGGCCACGAAGTTGGGCGGTGGGCAAACCTCCCGTTAGCAAACCACCCTTTAGTGAAAACGACCTGGGACCGAAACCGACGGACCAGGACCCGCAAAAATGACGGCCGCGACGCCCTCTCGCGAACCGAAAACGGCCAATTCGCTAATCGACGTGTCAGGGTAGGAGGTCTGTCCACCCCCGAGGAGTTGGGAGGTCGGCTATATTTGAGAGGAGGGGCGGGAGCACGGCCACGCGCACCCAGATGATCTTCCAACCTCATGTTGCTCCCATCGCACTTCGGGACCGCAGCCCAGAAATCATGTCGAGCACCCAGACAAGAGTGTCGAAAGAGTGTCGAAAGCGTGTCGAAACGGTGTCGGACGAGTGAGTGTCTCCCAGGGCCCGACGCGCGAAAAACCCGGAGCTTCGGTGCGTTTTCTGGTGCCCGAAATTCTTGTTGGTGATCGAGGCGAAAGTTGGTTGCAACAGCATAATTGTAACCACGGATCTGGGTGGTTCAGAGCGAAAATGCACGTAGCCAGTCTTGAGGCGAGAGCCTGGTTCCTGAAGAAAGACTGGGGATATATCTCCAGCGAGACGCCAGGCGATCCAGGGCCCCACGCCCCCCCCAGTGGGCCTCTTCGGTGGTCCTTTCTCCACCCCAAATCAGAGAGCAGAAGGACCCCCGGGGAAGGGGGAGGGACCTCCCGCGCATGGCCAAAAAAATGTCGTCGGACGTCCACTTGCCTGACTGGGCCGTCACCGGGATGGCGGGGCCTGGCCCGAAAGGGGGCCCCAGCTGCGGACGCCCTGGGCCGTCCACCGCCCCATGCCGGGGCCGCCCGCGGCCTGAGGAGATCCGGGCAGATGCGGTCGGAGGGCCGCGCCGCATCTCCGCTGTGTCGCCGAGGCGTCGGCGGCGTCGGCGGTGCATCGGCGACGCCAGCGTGGAGAAAACTGAGCGCCACAACCAGCCACACCGCGGAGAAAAATGAGCTCCACAGCCAGCCACACCGCCGATGCATCGGCGAGGCGGCGCGATGCTCCGACCCCATTTACCCAGCAGGGGAACTTTCGGGCAGTCGCCACGAGGCGGCCCAGGCGACGCGCTACCGTCGGGATGTTGACTTAAGGAACCTTACATAAGGAACGAGGCCCCTTTTCTCCAGAAGTTGAACTTCGACTTCCCATCGAAAATCCAAGGAACATCTGAGGAAAAATGCGAAACAATGAGGGAACACGGAGCCCCTCCCCAACGGAAAGGGTTCCTGATTCGACGCCCCGACTGTATGCCTTGCGAGTGGCTAGCGTATCGCTCCGCTTCGCGGGGCGGGAGGCTCGGAGAGGCTCGGGACGTCGACGCCCGGGGGGGCCAGGGAGTGTGCAGCGTGTCGCGCCGAAGCGCGGTGGGCCGGACCCGGCGGGGCGACACGCTGCCCAAAGGTCTCCCGGCCGCACGCCACCTGCTCAGAGTTGAGGGCAACGTGAAGCTAAGAGCGTAAGGCGTCACGCGAAGCGATTTCTTAAACCGGCAGTCCAGGTCCAGAGATCAGAAAAATCGATGGGAAAAAAAACTCCAAGAGCACGCCAAGGGTTTCTTCCAGGTTCTTGGTTGCCTTCGAAGAAGTCTGGTGTCCGTAAAGCTCGGTTGTTCTTGCGTGTTCTGTTGGGTGATCTCGGACCCCAAGTGGGAGGAGTTAATGCAAATCGTTTGTTTGTTTGTTATTCTTCTTGGTTGCCAGATTCTTGGTTGCCATATTTCAGGTGTCCATGGAAGTTTGCTTGTTCTTACGAGCTCTGCTGGGTGTACTCGGACACCAAGCGGGAGGCCCAGACACTGGCCTACCCTCCCCAAAGGCAGGCACTCGCGGGGCCTTCCCCGGCGCACGGCTGGGACGCAGCGCACCGCCACCGTCGGGGCCGGTCAGAGAGATGTCAGGGTGAGGAGTGCGGGGCCTTAGCCGCCCCGAGGCGCCACTCTTGAGTCGGCGGCGCAAAGGTTCCTCAAGCGCGGGCAGCAGATGGAAGTGCGAATTGCGGTCGAGCGTTGCCGAAGGCAGAGTGTACGAGACGTCGCGCACGGTCAAGTGCAAAGCGATAAGTGGTGTGCTAGAAGGACTGGAATGCCACCCCCACGGCGAAACACGCAACCCGCAGCGTGGTGCCCGGAGCTCCACACGGAGGCTGAAGCTCGAAGGCGTACGCTCTGGCCGTAGTGCCTTCGCCAAGGCGTGGGCCAACCCGTGGGGCCAACACGCAGCGTGTGCACGTTTTGAACACGGCGCGCGTTGCGTCTCAAAACGGGCGCATCAGGCCCCTGGGGCCCTCGCCAGGCCCGAAGGCCGTCAACAAGACGACTCGGCACTAGAAACCGGACCCAGGGACTGGGTCGAGGCCTCCCAGGGCCCACGTCATTCACAACATCAGAACGTCGTGGGTATGGGCTGAGATGCGTACGGTGAGGGTATTGGATAAGGGACTATTGAATGAGGATTCCAAGGTCTGAAGCTGGTGGATATCCAATCGTGGATTGGCCATTGATATCGCAGGCGGCCGCGTTGGCCTTAGACGCATCCACCCCGAATGCGTCGATGTATGTAGCGACGCCCAACATGCCCACAGACGCTAGTGGCTAAGAAAGCGAGATAACGCTGCTCGGCATAGGCCCATAATCTTGGTTTCTTGCTTCACGCGACTGCGCTCTAGAGACTCAGACATGTGATGTCCCGATTTTTTCAGGACACTGTCCCCGGAACTCCCGACCCTTTTCTCGGGGCCGGCTTTTCATCCTGAGTTGTTTTTGAAGGTCCCGAGGCCCAGCGAGGGCCCCCCGAGGCCGAAATTGGCAAACAACCTCCCGTCCTGATTTGTTTGCGACGCGATCATGTCTGGGGATGCATCCCTGAGGACACATGAAGCGCCCTCGGCTTGCTACCCGAACCCATCTGCTCACCCCATCTGGGAGGCCTGGCGTCCGCGCCCCACTTCTTTCCGCGCGTGCCCGTTGGGATCCTGCCGACACCATATGTCGACCCCCTCCTCCTCCTCCTCCTCCTCCTCCTCCTTTTCCTCCTCCTCCTCCTCCTCCTCCTCCTCCTCCTCCTCCTCCTCCTCCTCCTCCTCCTCCTCCTCTTCCTCCTCCTCCTCCTCCTCCTCCTCCTCGCGCGGGCGGCCGCCGTCCTCCCAAACTTCGCCGCGGTGGCCACCGCCGCGGTCGCCATCGCTGCCGCGGCGAACTCCTCCAGGGCCGTGACGGCCTGCTCGGGAACCCGATCCCCGTCCCCAGCGGCGTGGCCTGGGCCCCACTGGCCGATTTACCCCCCTAGATGGGGACATAGGTCGTTCCCTTTCGTTTTTCGCAGGGTTTATCCCCAACTGGGGGTCTCGAAGGGGATGGGGATGGGGGTCGGATAAACGATACTGACATAATGGGACAGGGATGAGACCTTGCAGACGTGCTGCAGCGGACTTTCGCGTGGATTCCTGTCAACGCAAAATCCCAGAAACGGCGAGCGAAAAACGGCGCGAATTTCACGTGGTGGATGTTTGCTGGTCTGCATTCTTGACAACAAAAAATCCGCACGAAATTCACTTCGAAGTCCAGAACGAACTTCTCCAGGGCAACTCGGGCCGCATCTACTGCTTGCCGACCGAACTCTGCTCTGCGGGGCTGGCGCAGTGCCATCGGGGACCTCCGAGATCCGGCGGTTCTGGAGGCGGTGTCGGGGGCCGCGGCCGTCTGAATAACCCTCCAGAGCGCCCTGGAAGGATGCCCTCCCTGCCCCGGCCCCGCCCGAACGGGCAGCCTGCCGTGGCTTGGAGCCACGAGGATGCCCTCCCTGCCCCGGCCCCGCCCGAACGGGCAGCCCGCCGTGGCTTGGAGCCACGAGGATGTCCTCCCTGTCGGGGCCCGAAGGGGCAGCCTGCCGTGGTTTCGATAGCCACGAGGCCGCCCCCGCGGCCGGCACCGAGCCGGGCCGCCCGATCGCAGCGCCCCCGAGATCGACGCGAGGCCGGGCCACCGCGCCTGGCTCGGGCCGGGGCCGGCGCACCCCGAGCCGCCTCGAATGGGCTCTGCCTCGCGGCCCCGGCCGGCGAGCCGAGTCGCGCCGAATCGGATGACGGGAAGCGCCCCGTCGTCGTCGTCACCATCGCCCTCCGCGTATTCCTCCTCGTGCTCGCCCTCGTCCTCTTCGTCCTCGTCCTTGTGCTTCTCTTCCTCCTCGTTGTCCTCATGCTCCTCCTCGCTATCCTCACGTTCGCCACGTCGTCCTCGTCATCGACTCCTCGTTGTCCTCGCCTTCCTTTCCTTCTTCGTCCAATACGCCCATTTGACTACAGCGGCGCTTCCCGTTCTTGTCCGATCAGGTCGCAGGCAGCCCTGTCTGCCCCCTGCAGGCGTGCGCGCGCGCGCTCGCGGAAGCCGCCAGCCCCGGGTCGAGCACCCGCGGGAGACGTCCGGGGCCCGCACAGGACATATACTGTGTACTGGGGAGAGGGCCGGGAGCATCAGCGAGGCGGCAGCAGGGAACGGAAAAGCAGGGCGCTGCTGATCGGGATTCGGAACAGCTTCCACCTGGGGAGACGGAACAGTGGAGACCCACGTTCCACGGGGGCCATTCTCGAGGGCGCGCCCCTGTCCTGGCCTGCCGGTGTCCACGCGCTTTCGGGGCCCTGCAGAACGAGCTCGAGTGGGCCCTCCGAAGTGTCCGTCTCGGGCGGCAGCAGCGGCTGGACGACAGACAATGGACGACGACGCGCGACGCACGACGGACAACGTACGCCAAGCAACCAACATCACGGCCACAACGACGTAGACGACTAAGGACGAGGACGACGAACGACGCGACGATGGCCGACCAAAATCCGGTCCCCCTCCAGGAGTCCATTGTGGGCAGGCCCTGGATCGATTTCTGACGGCCCACAGGACCCGAGACGGGCCACTGGACCAGAGGCCGAGAGTGAGGGGAAACTTCTCCAAGTCTCGGCGGCCACGACGACGGCGGCGGCGGCGGCGCCTGCGACGATGGCCCTAGACTGAAGGACAAAGGCGGCGCCTGCGACGACGACGACGACGACGACGACGACGACGACGACGACGACGGCTGGGGCAGCGCGCTTTCGGGGGGAATCCACGCTTCCGAGTTCGACGGCCCGAGGAGGAGAAGGAGGAGGAGAAGGAGGAGGAGGAGGACGCGGAGGAGGACGAGGAGGAGGACGAGGAAGAGGGCGGCAAAGACATCCGACATCATGATTTATCTGATCACAGCGTGGCTCCCCCGAGATCTGGACCTCGTCCTGGGAACCGGGCTCTTCTTCCTGCACATATTTCTGGCAGCGCCAGGGCCAGACATGGGCCCCAGGATGCCGAAAAAACACCTGCTAGAACCCTGACAAGAAGCGGGGGCCCGTCGTGACTGCCTCACACGACGCGAGTCTGTCAGGGCCGGCCCGAATGAGGACGGGGAGGGGGAAGGGGAAGGAGGCGGAGGAGGAGGAGGGAGAGGAAAGGGAGGGGGAAGGAGGAGGAGGAGGAGGAAAAGGAGGAGGAGGAGGAGGGGGAGGACGGGGGAGGAGGAGGAGGAGGAGGAGGAGGAGGAAGAGGAGGAGGAGGAGGAGGGGGAGGAGGGGGAGGAGGGGGGGAGGAGGAGGAGGAGGAGGGAGGAGGAGGAGAGGAGAGGAGGAGGAGGAAGAGGAGGAGGTGGTGGAGGAGGAGGAGGAGGACGAGGAGGTGGAGGCCCGTCGTGATCTGCTGGATACGACGCGAGGCTGTCAGGGCCTGGTGGTCTTCGGGCCACGGCTCGGCCCCGCGGCTGTCGCTCGGGGCGATCGCGGCGCATCCCTGGAACGCTCTCGGCGCGAGGCACCACTGCTGCGACGCATCCCGAGGCAGGCCAAGGGGAGGGGGAAGAGGACTGCGAGGAGGAGGGCGAGGACGGGGGCGAGGAGGAGGGTGAGGAGGGGGGCGAGGAGAGGGGCGGGGGGGAGGAGGAGAGGGGCAGTGGGGAGGAGGAGGAGGAGGAGGAGGAGGAGGAGGAGGAGGTGTGCTGAGTGCGCTGACTACATGGGGCAAGGCCCCCTCTCCGCAGAGCAACAGGCCTACCACTCGGCAGGCTCCTCATAAAACTCGGGCCCCCCCCTCCCCAGGGACCTGGAAAAGTCCACCACGGCCGAGGGGGAATCAAATCCGTGCAACAAAGCGACCTGTCTGTCGTCAAGCTGCGGCACGTTGGTGCCGCATTTGCCCTCACAGGCCGTCGGAGCACGCATCGACTGATCGTCCCCACCTCCTGCCTCCTGCCCCCACGCGCCTCCAGCGAGGGAGGGGAAGCGGGGGGCCCAGGACACGATGTCGTCGCCTGTGGGGGCGCGGACGTCCTCGATCCGCGCCTTAAGGCGTCCTGGCATGAGCCCTCGGCGGAGGAGGGACCGCTGAGTCCGCAGACCAGGGGCCCCCCTCCCACGACACACCCCGCCCAGCCCCTCCCCCGACCGAACAATCTCGTGCACCGAGGACCCACAAACTTTACAAAATAAGACATCAGGCTCTGGCTCCGCCCCTTCGATCAGGGGCACGACCGACGCCTTGACGACCGAGTGGCAATTGAGAGCCCACGGCGTCCCAGAGCACTCCTGAGGATCGGGGCCCTCCTCCCCTCCCGCAGCGGCAGCAGAAGGGGGGGGGCGATGGGGGCGGCGGCGACGGGGGAGGCGGCAGGGAGGCCGCAAACGCAGCTCCCCTGACAGGAACCACGCCTGTGACAGCCGCAAACGGCTCCACTCCCTCCTCACATGCTGCACTGGCCAGGCACTCCCACTCGTAAGGGCTTAGCTCGAAAGTGATATCCGAGGGCCCAACAACCCCCTCAGAGTCGACGAACCCCCCATCAACCATCAACTGTTGGGCCCTCGCATGCCATCTCGAGACATCGTGGGCCATGGCCTCGACCCCCTGTGCAAAGGCGCACTGCCGTGGGGGGGGGGGACCACCTCAAGGCGCATGTTTTCGCCCAGCGGTCCGCCATCTGATTGCCGAGGATCAGCCAATCATCTTCAAAACTGGTGGCCGAGGAGCGCGCACGATGCGCCTTGACCTTGACAACCGACGCCTGGTGGCCGATCCCCTCCCACCAGCGGACCCAAAAGTGCCCTCTAGGATTCATGGGGTCGAGCGCCGCGCCTGGATTCACCGCGCACTCGATCGAGCCCGCACAGTCTGAATAAACTGCGAGGGGATCGTCCGCATTCCACTCCGAGAACTCAGCCAAAACCTGAAAGGCTCTATCCTCTCCATCTCGCGCCGTTTGATTGGGCGCGTAGCTGAGAGGGGCCACTCCAATGGCGCCTGCCACCAGGCGCCCGCTTTCATTAACCTGGACGATGGACCACCCAGCGCGAGAGAGTCCAGAAAAACGAGAGTTGAACGCGCTGCCGTCCACAAAAACTTCCCCCGAAAACTTCCAGCCCTCGGGGACCCCAATCCAGATCAACTGGTCCTCAAGGTTGGCCTCCTGGATGGGAAAACAACGGGCTGGAGACGGAAACAGACCTCGAGCAAACATGTCCACCACCTCTGGTGCCAGCAAGCTCACTTTTCTGGCGGCTGTCCGCACGTGTGGCGGGCATTCCTCGCGCCTGTGTACCTCGATACACGGGCACTCGTAAAACCTATGAAGCAGCGTGCCCTGTCCTCCACAGATTATAAGCATCGAGCATGCTGGGCCTTGCCACGACGAAAGAGCCGCGCTTGTGGCCAGCGGGATCCACCCACCAAGCTCCGCAGCGCCGCCTTGTGGTGCGGCGCCCAGGTGTCCGTGACACCGCGAGAGAGGAGGTGATTGAGAGGCCCCCAGCGCAGAGCCCCCCGCCACCCCTTTTCAATTCTAGCCAGGGCAAGAACGTCTGAGGAAACCAGCGCAGCTTCCTCCGCACGCTCCGCTATAAACCCTGGGGTGAATTCCAGCATGGAATACTCGAGGCCCTGGAAGACTAAAGAGAAGGCCGTGGGCATAGCAATGCCAATGCGCGCCATGCAAAGCAGCGCAACCTGACTGGGATCGATGCAATGCGCCCAGGGCTTGGCTTTGCCGAGGAGGTTCTTACCAGCCTCCCAGCAACCCTGCATGGGGCCACGCCCTGGCAGCTCCGAGAGGGCCGAAAGAGCCCACTGCTTAGCCACTTCTACAGCATGCGCAACCCAGGGGTCCCTGAAGGAGCCTCTGGGAGACACGCGCAGTCGAAGGCCTACCGAGGTGCCTGCAGGGAGGCGGCCCTCCGCACGAAGGGCCGACACTCTCAGTCCATGCAACTTGAGGTCTGACAGACCAGTGACCGCGCTCCCCCACACCGCCGTCGCCGTAGGAGACCCCCTCTGAATAGTGCTGACAGCAGCGCCTGCAGCCCTGAGCTGCTGAACTCTCGCCGAGACTCTCTTGGCCTTGGCGATTCGCTTATCTTGCTCCCCGACCCTCCGAGCCGACCCGTCATTCGCATCGGTGCCCAGGCACCTGGTCCCGATGAGTCGATCCTCATCGCCGAGGGACCACCTAGCGTTGAGCTGTACGGCCAGCTCTGCTGAGGATGTTAAATAGCCAGTCTTATCCCAGTTGACCCGCAGCTGTTTCTCCTGGAGCCCTCGGACCAAGGCCATCATGGCCTCAGGAAACTGGGAAAGAACCTGCTCGGCCGTGCCGAGCGCCTGGAGCCAAAAATCGTCCACGAGGTTTTGAAACCGCACCGCGGGGAACCTGGCTTGCAACTTCTCGAGTAGCGTGTGCGCTAGCAGTTTAGCCAGTGCCAGCGCGCAGCTGCAGCCCGCAGCCACAGTCCCGTTTGCCTCCACCGCAGGCGCAACTGCTCCCTGCCAAACAGCACGCCGAGGAAGCCTATACGCCGAGCAGAGGCTGCGAAGAAGGGCTAGCGGGAAACCAGTGTTGATGGCTTCCCTCCTAAGCTCCTCGCGTGAGATATATTCATAATATTTCGAGAGGCCCAGCAGCCCACTGACCGCCGAAAACCCCTTCAGACGAGCGAAACGCTGAAACACATTATGCACCAGTCCTGACCTGCCACAGGTGTGCCCAGCATCTCCCCAGAAGGCGGCATTCGCAAGAGACTTCTCCCAGCGACGAGCACCGACCTGACGACACCTCGACCACGCACGAGTCCAGAGGGAGAACAGGACGATGGGTCTCACACCCCCTGGGGGATTGGGCCTGCTTAAAAAGAAGACCAGAAGCGTCCAAAGATCCTGATATTCAGGTGCTCTCTCCCACGCATGCAGGATGTCCAGGAAAGCCTGCCGATGCGAGCCTGGGAGATGTGTCATCTGCCTGGGGTGAAACTTATCCCACCCCAATCCTGCATTGGCGGGGTAACTCTGGAGCGCTCGGTCGAGCTGCTCAAGAGTGATTGGAGGGAGCTCGGCGTACGCGTCAAGCCTTCCCCTCGGCGTTCCGCCACCGTCGGGCCTCGGGAGGACCCCCCGCGGGCGCGTGCTTCCACCGACATCCGCGTCTCCAGTAGAGGGCCGAGAGATCTCCCACGACGCAGGGTGCGGCTCACACTCCCGCTCAGCATTCACCCAGAGTGGCGTCCAGGTCTGCATGATCAAGCCAAGGGCCTCTTGGCCTGCTACAGGATGCGAAGGGGCGCTGGGTTCTGCCGCCGTCTCCATGACAGAGGGCTGCATAGTGTCACGGACGAAGCGAAAGGCGCAGCTGCCACCGTTAAGAACCGCCGCCTGGGCCCACTCACGTCAAGCTCTAGCTGCTTCGGCTCTCGACGCCCTCTGGAGACTGGCCATGTGTTGCCTCGCAGCCTCCATGAACTGCGAGGCCCTGGCCAAGTCCCCATCAGCCCTAGACGCGATTAAATCGACCAGGTCCTGACGCGGGGTCTGGGCCCACCTGCTGAGCGAGCCCGGCTCCGGCCAAGCGTCTAGAACAACGCGACTGACAACATCCCTCTGTCTACGCAGGGCAGCCAGCGACGGGCATCGACGAGCTCTGGCTGCAGCGCCCAACTCCGACAGGCGAAAGGCCGCCGAGTAAAACCTTGCCCAGGCTTTGTACTCACTGCTAGAATGCTGCTTGAGAGAGCGCTCCCAAGCCTGAATGAACGGTTCGTTCGCTGTCTTGAAACCCTCGGCGCGCCCTCTCCAGGCACCTTGCGCCCAGTCCGACAGGTCATGAAACTCCGACAGATAGGCTTCGGCATGACGAAACCACGCAGCACACGCCTCGCCGAGGTCTCCAGGGAGTGCCTCTCCAATCGTCCAAGGCCACTCTCCGCCTGAAGCCATCTGTGGTGCAAGCCTCACAGGGGGGCGGCTTGCAGATCGGAAACTTGAGCGGAAAGACGGGGCGCGTCACACGCGCCTGTCTCCCCAGGCCTCGGAGCCGAACGTGAACAGGGATGTGCGTCTGCAGCGTCGAGCCCTCGATCGGCACCACCGCGTGGATGAAACCCGACAGCACGCGCGAGCAGACGCCAAAGTCGATTTACCTGCCACCGCACGTTGGTGCACCCGTTGTCCACAGTATCGCTTGAGCGCGCAGCGCCCACTCCTGCACCTCCTCTGGCAGCATGTTGAAGTCGCCGAGCACGATCCATGGCCCAGGAAGCGAGCCGAGGTACTCCATGAGCTGCGTCAGAATGTCGATGGTCTGCTTGGCCAGGCCGACGCTCGTGACCAAATGCAGGGAGACCACGTGCAGCGGCACCGCCAAACCCACATTGAGGCGCACCGACTCCACTCGGTGCGATGGCAGTAACAGTTGACCAAGGATCTGCGGCTCCCTACTGGCCGCCAATCTGCTGAGAACGCTTACACCCCCGCTCGATTGCAGAGGTCCGTCTCCCGTCGACTCCGCCTTGCGCGCATACATGTAGTAGGTGCGCTTACTAGCCCAGCGGACAGCCGACTCCAACAGAGGACCGCTCTTGATACGATGCTCCTGCAAACAAAGCACATCTGGCAGCGCCTGATCAGCACTGTCGTGGGCCCACTCCAACAACGTCTGCGCCGACGACCAGCTCGTAGAATTGGCCGACCACAAACTTATCTCGTGCTGCACACCAGCATCAATGCTCGCTCCAGCTCCACCTTGCTGCAGCTCCACTTGCGCTCCACTAAGGCCCCGCATGCGATCAAAGACGCTTGGGTTTCTTGGCAGCGCTGCCGAGGGCCAGGAGCCTCTTGGCCTTGGCGGGGTCATCGATGTCCACTCCAGCCTCCTTGAGGCAAGCCTGGATGGCAGGGTCTGCGGGGTCGCACTCGACATCGACGTCCATGCCACCTGCAGGTACGTCCACGCCAGAAGCCGCGGCGCCCCAGCACCAGCAGGAGGAGCACCATGCTTAGCAGCGCTGGCAGCCTCGGCCGCCTTCTGCTTTTGCTCCTCGAGCTTCGCCGCGGTCTCCTTGGCCATCCCTGCCACATCGACGCCGAAATGTGCTCCCATCGCGTCCAGCATCTTGCCGAAGTTCTCCAGCAGCTCGATGCCACTGTTGATGTCGCCGACCTTGGACTGGTCGGGGATGACAGCCTCCGCCTGCCTGGCGGTGATGGCTGCTTTGATATTCTTGAGATTGCCTTCGTGGACCGCCAGCTGGGCGATCTGCTCCTCTGCGAACTTTCTGGCGGCCTCGAGTGCTGCTTCAGCCTCTTTGACGCGCTCCCGACTGGCATCAATCTGCTTCTGCTTCCGCGACTCTCTACCCAGCAAGTCTTGGAGGGACTTCGTGCTGAGGTCAGCGGACTGGGGCTCTTCTGACGCGGGGGGCTTCTCCGCAAAGGCCACCACGTCATCCATAGACTTTCCCGAGTGCTTCTCGAACGCGCGGAGTATCTGGACAACGATCGCATTGTCTGGGGCCCGCTCCTTGTCCTTGCCTCCGCCGCCTCCCTTGGAACGGTTCGAGCCCCCAGGCTGGTCCCCGCCCCCTTTCGCACAGCGGGGCGGCCCACGTGCCCAGTCACCCTGGAGGCGCTCTGCCCAAGGGGGAGAGTCCCCAGGTCGCCTCTGGATGCTCTGGGCTCTGGGCGGGCCGATCTTTTCACATTCGCGACAGTGGGTTCGCAGCATGAAGTTGGCATATCGACAGTGGGAGCCGCTGCAGACCCAAGTTTGGAACTGCTTGCCTCCAACAGCATCGCGGCCAGCGGACATGGGCGAGAAGAGGAAATCTTTGGCTCGAGGCAGCTGCGCCACTTCCAAGTGCGCTGCCTCAAAGGTTGTGCCTGCTCAAAACCTGGAAATGGCTAGGAGGAGGAGGAGGAGGAGGAGGAGGAGGAGGAAGAGAAAGAGGAGGATGAGGAGGAGGAGGAGGAAGAAGAGGAGGAGGATAAGGAGTGTGGGGAGGGCGAGGAGGCAGGCAAGGACCCACTATGCCCTGGAAACGACAGGGCCGTTTTATTGCAATTTCCGTTTTCCCTGTTCTTTGCCACTTCCGGAGCCTATGTCTCATAATCTCTGCCGCCGTGTGCTGCCGTTCCCGCCGCTGCTTCTGGCCAATACCCAACGCCGTTTCTCTGGCCTGTTCGACTGCCGCGTTCTCCCCGTGACTTGCTCCGTCAAGACCTCCGTCTCCGTGCCGCTCGCACTTCTCACTCTCGCGGTCGCTCACAGTCTCATCCGCAGGAGAACCCGGAATCGAGTCGATACGTCGGATCGGCGATCGAAATGAATCGGATCGGCGGAAATCGGCAGCCGAGTCAGTAAAAGCCGAATCGGCAGAAATCGGCGGGCCAGTGTGCGTCCAATCAGAAATCGGAGCCCAAATCTAAGTCCCAAGTCGAATCGAATCGGAACCGGACGCCATCGAAATCGAATCGAATCGAATCGGAGGAATCGAAACGAGCCCTGCATCCGTGCTGGCAGCAGCCGGAACCGTCGCCGTGTCCAGGGGAGCCGCCGTGGCCACTGCCGTCGGCGCCCCCGGGCTCAGCCCCTCCCCGCTGCGCGAGCTCGTGTCCACCGCGTGCGCCGGGGCCTCCGGGCCCCCGTCCTGGACGGCTGCTGGCGCCGCGTCCTCCTCGGAGTGTGCGCACCGCTGGGAGGCACACAGCGGGCGCCCGGTTTGGACCGAGATCGTCCATTGTCCCCCTGCTCGACCTGTGTGTTAGTTATATACCGTTGGCGTCTCCCCTGTTGGGCCCCTGTGCCAAATTTAGGGG